CTTTCTCTCCACCGATTAATTTGCCGTGAATTCTGTAAAAATGATCTTTATCCCGTGCTCGCCCCGCACAGTGGAGACCTGGGTGCCTTCGCGCTTGGCATCCAGCACCTCGTGGAAAGGGCTTGGTTCCAGTAATGATTACGAAACGCCCTTTTGTTGGGGTAATGTGATGCATTTCACGCGCGTTCTCCCTGAAAGCGTGCCCGCGTGTCCCAGAGGTGGGGCTTTGCCCTGCCCTGGCGCTGCTCCGGGGCTGTCTTACCTGGGACTAACGTGCACGCTGCTTTGTTTGCAGAGGGAGGTTTCCAAGGCAAAAGGACTTCCCTGCTGCCAGCTCTCTGGCCCCACAGCTGTTGCTTACCCCGATTTCAAGCTCCCGGGATGCAGCCATCCACGGCGACCCGCGACGTTTGTGGGACCACTACCCTTTTCTTCCTCCCTGGGTGCCAGGTGGAGGGAGCGGGTGGGCTGCACTTAGTGGGGGTTGTATCACATTTAAAAACAACATAGTGTGAACCTTTGCCTTGACATCCTCGCCGCTCCCAGCACTTCTCTCCCTCTCTCCAGCCAAAGAGATGCTCCATCTCCCTGGTTATCTCTGGGCTTGGGCCGAACCGGACCCACCCGTAGCCTGAGTCAGTGCATTTATCCTGGGTCCTCATTCGGGAGCTTTGCAGCAGAAGCTAGGGCAAGTCAACAGCTCCCGTCCCATGCACCGGCTCTAATGTCTAGTTCGCTCTTCCCAGGGGTCACTTTGCCGTTTCCCTCGTCTTTCAGGGGAAAGGACGGTGCACAGATCTCCCTCTTCTTTGCACTATTCTGCATCCTTTGTGCTAATGCTCGTGAACCCTAGTTTTCATCCATTCCCTAATCTGAGATTTTACAGTCGCACTGATGCCCAAACTCACTTGGCTTTTGTTGCAATGCTTATTCTCTTTTTCAACTGTGTGCTTGGCAGGACTGGGCAGATCTGTTTCTTCGTCTTAGTGAGTTTTTACAGTGCGCTGGCAAAGGCACCCGTGCACAGAAAGATGCAGGCTTGTTGTCTCGGGGATTTACAGAACTGCACGAGGAGGTTCGATGCCCGTTACGATAGGATCAAGCCCTCGTGATCTGCGGGGTGGGGGGAGCGAAAGAGCTGCCATTCATTTGGGGAAACTCGGGGAAAACGTGCTTCTTGGTGAAATGAAGAAGGTGAAACAGCAGCAACTCCCTCCCCCTCCAAATAGCAGAGGTGTGCGGCACCCCCAAAGCAAAAGCACCGGTCAGCTAAGGGGCCGTGTCACTGGTTGGGCAGCAGGGCGTGGGGGTCAAGAAAATGCCCCAGAAACGCAAACCGGGAAGCCCAAGAAAGACCAGGACACTGGGCAAGAGCCCTTGTGGGACTGGTGTCAGATGAAAGGGGCTTGGATAGGTCTGGGGCTCAAAAGCACACCACACGGCCACCTTATCAGAGAGCAAAAAGAGGCTTGCGAGTGGTCTGCAGACCTGAATGCGTCTGGGAATGGCTGCTACCCACGGGTTTTTCTTTGCATTAACAAGCCTGGGTTTCTTCTATTGCAATCTCCGTCTGCAATAATTCAGTTTGCAATCACCGGTTTCATTCCACCAAGTCATGAATGCCCTGAAATGCTTTCAAGGAAGCTGAGGAGCTGTGTATGTTCTTGTGCTTTCTCACATTGAACTTACTTGCCCTTTTTTTTCTTTATCCCTAGTAAAAGAGGCTAAAAACCTAGTTCCTATGGACCCTAATGGCTTATCAGACCCCTATGTGAAACTTAAACTAATCCCTGACCCCAAAAGCGAAAGCAAACAGAAGACCAAAACCATCAAGTGCTCCCTGAATCCTGAGTGGAACGAGACCTTTAAATTGTAAGTACCGCAGAGCATTTTTAATCTTGTAAACTAGCCCCTCTTGCCCCCAGAACGGATGGGAATGTATTTGCTGTGCTTTAATTATTCAGAGATTAAGCTGATTCAATGGAGAAGTAACTTTTTTTGCAGTTACATAAATGTGACTCGGAAACGCTCCGACTTCTGCTCCGTGCCCTGATCAAAGTCTTGCATTTCAATGAGAGAACTTCACATTCTCCAGTTGAAATGCACGCTCTCGGGGAAATTAAACATTAGAGAGCCCTACTGTCGTTGAAGACCGTCACTTCATTTCGTATTCATTTATTTATCGAATGCACAGGGGAAGCGTGTGGGAGCGTGGAGATAACTTCCACCGCCGGAACGCTCCTTTTTCGTTTCTCTCTTCCAGTCAGCTGAAAGAATCGGACAAAGATAGACGGCTGTCCGTGGAGATTTGGGACTGGGACCTGACCAGCAGAAATGACTTCATGGGCTCTCTGTCCTTCGGGATTTCTGAGCTGCAGAAAGCAGGCGTGGACGAATGGTAAGGGTCCGGTTCTTGTGGCCTCCTTTCTCCCGGAGGGAAAGGGCCGGCTGCCTTCCCCTCGGCGGAGAGTGCCCGAGCCTTTCCGGTGTGCCTCGTCGGAGGGCCCTCGGTCGTTTTGCACCCAGAGGTCCCTCTTTCATACAGTGTTGCTGCCCCTCACCTCGTACGGGTGCAAATAATTCACATCGGGAACATGGATCAGATACCTGAGGTGCTAGAAGATCAGCAAAGGGAGACATTTCCCCGCAGTGTGCATGCCCAGTGTGGATTACTTTTATTCCCTGTCTTTTGGGGTTGTGTTTTATACCTTGCGTTTCGTGTTTGGGGTCTGGCTGTTTTGGAGTGCCTGGGGTTTCTCTTGCATACGTGCCTATGGGAGACCCACACAGCGTCCAAGTCGCGGTCTCGAGGCCCGACATTTCTTCCCACGTGCTACCGTGAAAGGTCGAGCCTACACGGGAGCTCAGAAGACATCATCCGGCGTCTCGTTTTCAGTCCAGTCTTTTAGCTCCACTAACGTACCAAAAGAGCCATTGTGTTGATCATAAAGTTTAAATGCCAAGAAAAGCCAGATCAGTAGCTAGTTAAGCAAGCCTGGAGAAGAAGCATGACTTCTATCTGCGGCTGGTGCTTCGGCAGCATGTGGACTAGCAGAAATGATGATTAGGGGTTTCTTTCAGTAAAAAGAAGAAACGCTGTCCAAGGCATATAATTACTGTCACTTGTTACCATACAAAAGATGAACGCAGTGGGTCCATAAAACCCATGCTGAATGGGGCCTATTCATTTCCATTTTATCTTCCCCAGCAGGATACATGCCATTTTAATTTCCTTTTTTAGCCACCGATGCCTGAAAGCGACGTTACCTTTCCACGGGAAGGATTATAATTTAAAATCGGTATTGTATGCGTCTCGCAAGCCAAGAACCGCATGGTATCAATTTACATGGCGTGAGGCAAACAGCCTCCGTGGATTCCCCACCTTCTCCTTCGAGGAGCTGTCTGGCAGCTCTGCGGGGGAAGGCGTGCGGTCGCTGGTAGCTCCCGCTTCGCCGGGGAGGACGGCTCTGCAAACAGAGTCGTCGACACCTGGGACACAGCTGTGATTTTTATTATTTCTAATGACCTACCCCAGAGCAACATGCCCGTACATCACTCCGTGCCTGCCTCTCTCTGCAGCATCCCTCCTAGGCAGGGAGAGTCGAGCGGGCACTAGTGACAGAAGACCTGGGGGAGGCAGGCGTGGCTCATTCAGAGCCTGCCAAGCTGAGAACAGGCCCTGGAAAGCCCAGCTCCCTGCCCTGCTTCGCACCCCTTCACCGGAGACATAGCTCCTGTCCCGAAAACACCCGATTTTTGCATCCCTGCAGGATGCACGGTCAGCTGCAGAAATGCATGTGTGGCGGCGCAGCGCGGGGTGCCGCCTCTTTTTCACGCGCGCTGGAAATGGTTTCCTGCAACCACGTCAGCGGCAATCTCGGTCATTTTCCCGGCCGCGGCGTTTGCCTGGGATGAGCCCTGGTGGAAGGCTCCGCGGCCTGTTTCATCTCTCAACAAGCGCAGTCAACGGAGGACGCCGGCTGCGAGGCAGTGCCCGTCCCTGTGTTATGCAAATAGCTCTTTGTTCATCTGCCGAAGACGCCAGCCTCTGTAGATAACGTCCAGCCGACCGCCGGTCCTCTCTGGCGGCTGCGGAAGAGAGCTCTTTGATGGAGCCGAGGCTTCGCAAGACGCCTGCGATCTGAGCGATGTCTCGTGATTTCTGATCATTGCCAGTTAAAGTTTTCTTTCCTCCCCACTCTTTCTTTTCACGAGACTCTGGGCTTTGCTGCAGGATGGACCTGTTGCAATGCCGCCGTCACGTGTACGAGCACCCTCAGTAGGACCCGTGGGGAGGAAGGGGCGCAATCCCGCACATTTTGCACATTTTGGGAGGTGCCCAGACTGGCTCCAGAGCCTGCTGACATCAATAGACTCGCATTGATTTCCCTGGGCTTTGGATCAAGTCCCTAAGGTAGAGAAGGCTCCGGTGTCTCCTGGTGCGTACGCTCCTTTGCAGCAACAACCTGTTACCAGCAACTCCCCGCAGGGAAAGTTTTCTGTGCCAGGGACAGAGATGTCACTCCCTATACCAGCAACAGCCTCTTTAGAGCAACACAGCACCAGGGCACCCACTTGTTGGTGCAAGCAGGGTCTGACTGTATTCAGGTTGAGCTGGGGGTGCGCCGACTGCCCCAGCCCGGGGGTAGCACCCCAAGACTGCACACCTGGCAATCTGGAGGGGGTGTGGGGGGGTGGGAGTGCCTGAATGGGATCACTTAGGCTCTGATAAAGCTAGGAGATGGGCACGGGCCAGGGAGAACCGTGCACAAAACCAGCCAAAGATGAAGGCCAGCTGGTACGTGAGCTCCAGACGTGCTGTGGTGACGCGCTGCTTTTGCCGTATCCTTCCAGGTTTAAGCTGCTGAGCCAGGAGGAAGGGGAGTACTTCAACGTCCCGGTTCCTCCCGAGGGAGAAGAAGGAAATGAGGAGCTCAGGCAGAAATTTGAGGTGAGCGGACTTTCCTGAATGCTCAGCCCCTGCCTTTACGGCCGGGGGGGCAGGCTGCAGCAGGGTCCTCTGACGCGGTCCTCAGCGAAGGGCTTTGCTTTCTTGGGAGGAGTCCTGGAGTGGAGCAGCGCTCTTCTCCCCTCTTCCTGCCTGCATACGGCGCAGCCGGGGAGACCCTGGGGCCGGCCCCGCTCCTGCCCTTGCTCCCCTGGGCTGGCCTGCCTGCCTGCAGGTCATCCTGAGGTGGGCTTTTGCACGGTGAGTTTGTTTAGCTGCATTTTAATGAGAAACCACGTTGGGGACTTTAGCGCCGTGCGCACTATGGAGTGCAACCTGTGCAGAAGTTTGCTGAGTACGGGAGTGTGTTTGGGGCAGGCACTTCAACCGTGTTTGCCTGAATGGTAGTTTTCCCCCACCCAATGTTGGAAGGAGGAGCGGTGCCGTCCTAGGCATTTGCTCCACTTGCCCCATTCAGATTCAAGAGATGCGATACGTCACTGAGGTTTTCTCTGCGGAGCAGCCGTATGCTGAAGGTCACGGCAGGTGTTGCCCAAGCTGTCCACCCTAACTCGGTCTTCGCTGCACAACTGCAGGGCTGAAGGTTTTGCACACGCCTGTGAGGCCTGATTCCCCAGGTGGTATAAGTTAGCGAGGACCATTGCAGTCTGCAGAGCTCAGCTTCTTGATGCTGGCTGTGCAAGCCTGGCCAGGATGCGTGCCGCAAGCGGGTGGTTTCATTCTCCCTCGCTTGCTCACGTGCTCCGTCTCTCTCGGCATCCGTGATCAATGCCGTGATGAAACCATTCTGTGAACCATGTTTGACCCCAGCATGCACATTTAGGCTCTGTGCACTTAACAATTTTTGTGCGTTTCTCTGTGCAACATCTGTTTAAAATAGCAGTGCATCTGTACGGCCGGACTGCAGTGACTTATCTCAACAGTTAGATGGAAAGGAAGCGAAATGCAGAACCACCGAGGCTTGGGGCTGGAAGGGGTGCACGACAGTTGCATGCTCGCACTTACTGACGAGGATGTGCTTCTTATTTATGGCCTGTTGGCAGGGGTGGACCCGGGGGGTTGCACTGGTGCACTTGCACCCCTCTGCGATCCCTGCTGCGCCCAACGTTTAACACCAACCGCCTGGCAGGCGCAGCAGCATTTCTAGTCAGGCCGGGCTGAGGGAGTCACTCCACGGCTTATTATCACCTGCCTGATCCCTTGCAAACCCTTCACTCCAGAGGTGTTAACGACCCTCTCTTCTTTTTAATGGTCTCGATTTTCCACCAACCAAGCTCACCCCTGTTCTGCCATGCTGCTCCTGGTCACGAAGCTCCTATTTCACAGCCCTGCACGTTGTTTTTAACGCCTTCCAATGAAGTGCTCTTTGTTTTTTGCTTCAGTGTTAAACTGACTCATACAGCCCTGGGCTCCTCACGTGGTAGTAAAGTTTCTAGTTTAGTTTTAACCGGAGAAAAGTGTTTTGTGTTCTGTGTGGTGACGCCCCTCGCCACGTGCTGCACCCCTTTTTAAAAATCCTAGCTCTCCCCATGCCTATTGCACGAGCTGGCCTCTTGCCTTCTCTCAAATATCGTGCATTAATTCAGTGTGCGCTTAGTTTTCTTTGGAAGTGTGGGTTTGCTGCCAAGGGGAAAAGCCAGCCGTGGCGCTTTGGGAAGTAATAGGCGTGCCGAGGGATCTTTGTCGGGCAGGGCAGACAAACGCCGCGCTGAAGTACAGGTCTGGATAGTTGCTGCTTGTGGGTCTTTGCATACTGCAAGGTATTTGCTCAGTCCGGGGCTGAAGATCCTACACTTACTGCACGCAAGAAATGACGATACAATCGGGCTGCAGTTTTTTATTAGAAGCAGCTTTTATTTCTCTTCCTCTGACACGCAGCTGCGTGACAAGCTCGGCTTTGCCGGTTCATTTTCATCTTTCCAGATTAGATCTCGTCATCATTGTTTGGGATTCTGCAGTGTTTGTATTTGTCGAGACGGCCGTGATGTAGCTGGAAGAGGAAATTCATTAAGCTGATGCACTTCTAAGGCTACATGTTAATTTAGGAAGGACAAAGATTGCGTCCTGTGACGGCCTAATGTGTTCCTAATGTCAGGACAACGGAAATATTGTTTGAAATGGCAATTTTACTCCCATTTTGATGCACAATATAATGATATCTGCTATAATCTGCTTTATCTGCAACACATGAGGTTATAAATTAATATAATTAACTAAGATACATTAAGATATTGGTATCATTGGACTTGAGGCGAAGCTTTGGAAAGGGATACTTAGATAAGTGAACGCTAACAAGGAATTGATCTTTCAGAGACACTTTGTGACTGGCAGAAAGTGCCGATGAGATTATCCGAGATTTAAGCATGGAGAAATTAAGGCTAATGAGACCCCTTTGAATGCGCTGTCTGACTTTATCCTGTCTTCAGCACTGTTGCTTTACCCAGCACATTACAGCTGTCCACCAAATTAGGGGTGGGATGAGCTGAGAGAGAGCAGAGCCTCCTTTGGGAAGCTGGGTCTCGGGGTTCGGGGCCCTTGGAGGTGCCGACCTAGCTTGCTCCCAGTCTCTCTTGTAGCCTTCGGGGTTTGCTGCCAGCTGCTTGTCATAACCCAGGGCTCCTCGGGAACGCTGGAAGTCCTGACAGGGTCTTTTCTTCTGTGTATCAGCCTGTGGCATCATGGGGAAGGTGTAGCTTTACTACCTTCCTCGTGAGAAAATCCTTCCTAATATCCAACCTCAACTTCCCTTGCTGCAGCTTGAGCCCATTGCTCCTTGTCCTGGCATCTGCCCCCACTGAGACCGGTCTAGCTCCATCCTCTTTGCAGCCCCCCGGCAGGGAGTTGACGGCTGCTATCAACTTCCCCTGGGTCTTCTCTTCTGCAGACTCAGTCAGTCCAGTTTGCCCTCTCCTCACCGGTCCTGTCTCCCAGCTCCTGAACCATTTTCATTCCCCTCTGCTGGACTCTCTCCAATGTGCCCACATCCTTTCTGCAGTGGGGGTGGGGGGCCCACAGCAGGACACAGGACTCCAGATGTGGCCTCCCCCGTGCCAACTCTTACTGGCATGGATGTGTTTCTTATTCATGGCCTGTTGTCACAGGTGGACCCAGGGGGTTGCACTGGTGCACGTGCACCCCACTTTGATCCCTGCTGCACCCAGCGTTTGGGTGGGGAAAGATCACTGCCCTCGGTCTGCTGGCAGCGCTCCTGCCCATGCAGCCCAGGATGCCGGTAGCCTTTTTGGCACCAAGGGCACACTGCCGGCTCCTGTTCAACTCATCACTCACCATCACCCCAGGTCCTTTTCTGCAGAGCTGCTGCCCAGCCTGTCACCCCCAGCCTGCACCGGTGCGTGGGGCTGTTCCCTGCTCAGTGCAGGACTTTGCACTTCTTGTTGAACCTCAGGAGATTGCTTTTGGTTCAGTCCTCCAATTTGTTGAGGTCTCTGTGACTCCTACTACTACTCTCTGAATCTTATATCTACTACTCCCCCCCCCACCCAACTTGGTGGCACCTGCAGACTGGCTGAGGGTATATGTATTGGTATAGCAGCGGAGCTCAGAAATAGTCCCATTTCACACTCCCCGTCTCTGGCAGCCCCTGACTTGTTCTTCATCATTTCCTTACAGCCTGGGTAGGCAGGCTCTGAATCTCTGATTGAAGACCAAACTCTCCCTCTCACCTGTCTGCTTAGCCAGACTTTTGAGGATGTCCTTCTAGGTCGCGAGCGCGCAGAATAGCGCTCATTGTAATGCAGCCGGCAGGCATGCTGCCATTTCATTCAGAACGATAAGGGCTAAGAGGAATCCAGCAATCAATTTGCATTAGCCCTGCCTGAACTTGCCTCTACCTGGGCAGCACAAATCAATAGGGCAAAGTTTCGGTCCTGGCAGAGGCAGCGAATGTCGGAGGAGCTGCAAGCAGGCACTGCAGGAGAACGGCGATGCGTGGGCATCTTGTGCACAGGCCGCTTGCCAGGTCCCCGCAGGCCTCCCATCCCATTTCACGTGCCGTGTTATCCGTGGCACACCTGTTCATGCCTCCGTGCCCTGCTGACATGCCGCCTGCCCCCCTCAGCTCAGCAACACTTCTGGAATAAACATGCCAAGGCTTGAAGCGTGTTTTCTTTAACGTTTATCAGACGTTTGCAGGGACACCTTGACGCGCGTGAGCCTTGGAGGCTCTTGCAGAAAGGCAGGTGCAGCAAATGAATGGCATCAGGCTGGATTGGAGAGTGAAGGGCAAGTGCTTTTTTATTGTTATGATGTTATTTTTTTGTGGACAGTTATTTGGCATGATTTCCTCATTAGTCAGAGAGAGAGTGCATTGAAATAGTGTAGAGGTAGAAGCACAGGGCTATAGATAAAAGACCACAGACTCCCGCACGTCTGCTCGAGGAGGGAGTGGTCTCCTTTCCTCCCCTGACTCTGCTTGCACACTCATTTCGGGAAAGGCCTGTTTTCTCCTGACCTGGCCGAACGCTACACCTGATCTTCCAGGGAAGCGGCGCTGTGCTTATCCCCCATCTGCTGCCCTAGAAACTCATGCAATGTCAAATTCAGGTCACACGCAAGATAAAATGTGATTTGAGGTGGCACTTCTCAAAGACCGAAAACTCCAGTAACTTTCAGCAATGGCTCGGGTCGGCGTGAAAGATCAGGCCTGTCGTTGCAGTCCAAAGTTGGATTATAACTTGTATTTAGGAAAATGCATCTTCCTAAGTTACTAGTAATACTTGGGATGGCTAAAAAAAGCTGTTTTAAGCATTACAAAGCTGCTTGGAGCAGGGGGTAGGGCTAGATGTGACCTCCTGAGCTCCCTCCCACCCCAGTTGTCTGTGATCCTGTGATAGGACCTGGGAGAGCTTTGCCCTGCTTTTCATGGTGCTGTTCCTTTTGCATATATGAAACAGCCTGGGAATATGACAGGTAACTCCTTCTGCAAGCAAAAGGGCACCACTCAGGCCTGGCTTTCCATGTTTCAAAGGTCAGCCGTGTTTCGCTGCAGAGAGAGAAACCCCTCTTAAAACAGATTCAATGCCAGCAGCGATGTTCCCCCGCGGCCTGGCTGTGTGGCCAAAGGCTCCCATGTCAGGAAGGCTGGGCGAAGTGGCACTTGCACGTCCTTGTGCCGGTGCTCGGTACCCTCCCTGGGATTACCTTCCCAGGCCAGAGCTGCTGGTGCGAGATAAATGCTCTGTCTGCCAAGGGCTCATATTGGACACTTCAGAAAGACCGGGTAGAGTCGATGCCCCAGGGGGAAGTTACCCGCCATGCTTCCCTGTCCCATCCCCATCGCTCAGCCTCCCTTCTCCCCCCAGCTCCCCGTCAGTTCTGCTCCGGGCAGGGCTGGCCTTGGCCACCTCGCTAGTGTGGACGAGGCTCCCGGGAGCACCCGGTCTTCCTGCCAGCGTCCACCGACAGGGAAACCGCTGGGAGCGCGCAGGTTTTATTTGCCGTGCCACGGCTGTAAGGACACACGATGGGCCAGCTAGGTTTTCACCTCGGCTCTGGAAATATTTTTAAAGCCTACACATAATCATGATAATATAATGGGGAAATGCACCTTGCTGGGAGGCTGCATTTGTTGTTAATGCATGTCCTTGGTTGTCACTGCGTCGGCAGCAAGCCCGGGACGGAGCGCGGCTGAATGGCACAGCTGCTCCTCGGAGCCCTCCTCTGGAATTGCTGCTGCAATAAGTCTTCAGGGATTTGCATCATTTCTTTAGCTTCCCATGCGGGGCTTTCTGACACAGGTTGGGAGAGCTCCAGGTGACCTTGAACGGGGAATTTTACAGCCAGGAGAACCTTGCAATAACCAATTAGCGGTAGCAAAGGCTTGGAGATTACCTGCGAGCCTCCTATCTGGAGGAGCCGTGAGCGACAGTCGAATTGAACGACTGGAATCGGGTTAATGGAATTTCATGCCAGACTGAGCTCCGTGCAGGCGCTACGCTGCGGCGTATTTCTAAAAATTAAAACTGAATAAATTGTGAGAGCTTTTATAAATTCTGGTTCAGCACATTAGATAGTCACCGGACCAGTGACAAGGCACCGAGCAAGCGATGAGATTTAGCGTTTAAAAATGTGAGCGGGTTTTCCTTCCTTTTCTTTTTTGCATCGCTTCTTAATAAGCAGGTGCGATTCAGCCGGGTCGTGTGATCGCTTTGAGGAGCGGGACGGGGAAGCAGTCTGTGCTGTTTTCAACATTGGGGTTCGTGCATTCGGCCCAAAGTGACACCGGAGTGCCCTTCTCTTCGGTGTGAAGCAGTGATAAAAATACAGCTTAATAAATCCCTCCTCACAAAAAATAACCCCTCCCCTCATTTTGCTAAAGTGTACTTGTATTCAGTGTGGCCCTGGTCCTGGGGCGAGACGCGCAGCAAGCCCAGTTTGGCATTGTGAAGGGAGCCCTAAATCGTATCAGACGTGTCCTTCTTGATCTCCACTGCCTCCCAGATCCACGGTGAGGCGGAAGCTTTCAAATACGAGGTTAACTTGTGACGTGCTTTCCAACGCTCCTTGGCAGATGGTCGAGCGCTGCCATCTGACAGCAGTTTGAGAGGACACGCTGCAGCCACGCTGCTCACGGGGATGTCGCGCTCCGTGTCCCCATCTCGACCGGACGGGGCGTCTTCCCCGGAGGGGTGGTGCAAGCACCCCGAGCGATCGCTCAAACGGAGCTGGAAAAGTCCTAGCCGGGCATTTCTAAGGGCTAGTCTAAGTGCAATGTAACCGGTGTCTTTTCCCCTCTCTCGTCGCTCCTTTGATACCTGGAGGCACTTTCTCCACGAGCTTCCCCGGGGATCTGAAAGCTGGGGGGGAGTCAGCCTTTCGGCAACACAAAGCCCTCCAATGAAGGGCGATGAGTAGATAATGATTCATGGTACCTCTCAAAGAGATTAATTTAAAAAGAGTTGAACAGTGTGACGCGTTGTGTTGCATTAGCCTGTTACAGGGTTACTCTTGGTGCTGTTTGTGTCACGCCCGTGGGAAAGACCTTCCACGGCTCGGCCGTGCACAGACCCTAGGGAAGTGCGGCTTGTTTGAGGTGAGTTCAGGGGAAGCCGCCGTCTTAAAACAGAACAAAACATTTTGTCTTATCATTTTCAACTCTTTTTTTTCCCCCCCTCCCCACCACCTCCTTCCCTCTTGCAGAGAGCCAAGATCGGCCCGGGGTCGAAAGCGGCAGACGAGAAGACGCAGAATGCCATTTCCAAATTTGACAACAACGGAAGCAGAGATCGGATGAAGCTGTCGGATTTCAATTTCCTGATGGTGCTGGGCAAAGGAAGCTTTGGCAAGGTGCGGTATTCGAAGGGCTGTCCGCGCACCCGTGGACAGCATCGCGTTTCGCGTCGTTGGGTCTGCTGCGTTCCCTAGTCTAACCTGGCTCTGCTTCCTGCAGCCCCGGGCTCCAGGCAGCATCTCTCCTGTACCCGGGTGCAGGAGCAGCGCCTGTCGTCCGCATGAGTTCCCCGTCTCATTTGATGGTGGTTAAGATGGAGCGAAGTTTGCATTTGAACCTGAGATGTGTAACCAGAGCGGGGGTCCTGCAGTCGCAGAGCGAAGGAGCAAGGGGTGAGAGCACCTGGCTCCACGTCCGTACGTTTGCTGTTGTCCGGAGAGGCGAGGCGGGACTCGCTGGAGCCTCCTCCACGGTGCCGTTGGTGGGGATCGCGCTGGGATCCCCCTGCAGCACTAGACACGGCCCCTGCCCAAAGCAAAACGTCTTGCTGTTGCTCGCGTGCTTTTTGGGATGGGAGCCGGTTGCATTTTACATCTTGGGAATGGTCGTTGCTCCCCACCCGCGCGGTGTCCTTGGACGGCGTCAGCGGGAGCAGGGCACGGGGCGCGCGGGCTGTCGCTGCTCTTCGGGGCGCTGGGCAATGTCTGATGTTTCTCAGCGATGGCGAGCTCGGAGGGCTGCTTACTTCACTGCAAAAATGAGAAATGCTCTTGGTGGAAGCAGGGCTCGGGTGTTCCCTGAAAGCACTTTTCTTTCCTGTTCATCTTCCCCCCCAACACACACCTGATGTGGTCGTTGCAAACCTGCCTGAGCCCTTTAATTGACTTCACAGACCGCTTTATAAGCAGGAGCAGGATTGCTTTTGTGGCGTAATCGGGGGACTCGGCGTCTTCATTTGGCTTGGGGTTTTGCCAGTTTATGGTGATTTGCATTCCCTATTCCAGCGCTCAACTTGTGCTTTGCTTCGTGGTCTAGCCTAGGCGGAAGGACGTTTTTCCCCCTTTGTTGGTAGATCGGCGCCGTGTTCTCTGCCGCGACAGATGGCCTGGCGTTCGAGTCTTTACTGAGGTGTTTTCATAGGGGTCAAATTGTCCTCCACCTCCGTGCACGTGTCCGAGGTGGGCTGGCAAAAACGGACGTGGCACTGACGTGCGGTGGCACATTTCTTCCGGGCTCCGCGGCTCATCCCTTAACTCAAGTCGCCGCCTCCCGGAGCCTCTGTTTTCCCATCTGCAAAATGGGAATATCTCTGAACAGCGGTACAGAAGAAGCCGAGATGAATGCATGCACTTCCACCCCCAACCCGCTGAGCTCATTGCGATGCTCCCGGGAGGAAGCCGTCTATGGAAAATCTTGGCACGGGGTCTCCGGAGAGGGCTGTGGCTAACAGATGATTTAATAAAACCAAAGCCGCGGCGAAGATAAAGGTAGTCCCATTTGTTCGATTGCTTTTGCCTTTAAATAACAGCCAACCCCCACACCCAGAGCTCTAGACCCCCTAACGATTAGCATCCTCCCAGCGGTATTCAGCAGACGCATGCAAATGAATTCAGCCCCTCGATCCCTCGGCCGAACCTGCGTTGAAGCCACAGGAGCACGCTGCGCGCGTCGCCCCCAGACCGAGCAAAGAGATGCAGAAAGCGAGCGCGTTCGGCAGAAGGCGCTTTATCGCAGCCCTGAGCAAGGACGTTTGCAGACGGGGACACTGGTGAAATCTTAACTGAAAGCCAGTTGTGGCTTTTGCCCCCTCTCCACCCAATTAATCCCTTCTGAAGCCTCCCGCGCGGCATCTGGGAATTGTGGAGCTTTTCCTCCTGTTTTTAATTTGAGAAACATGAACAACCCCCTCCGTTGGCTCCCCGGCTTATATAATGGGCAAGTGTGACTGAAGCTGTTTTGTGGAACAGACTGTTATAAATATGCTAATTAGTGCTTGTTAAAACAGAACATGGGCTTATGTGATTAGAGCCAGCTCGGTTCGCGCGTGCGCCCACGGCTTACGGGGGTAGCATCCTCTGGCTTGTCTTCTCATCCTCTGCTTCAGAGACATCCTTGCACACGCTGGACTCGGCGGCTCCAGCTGCCCGCACCCCTGGCCAAGGGGCATCCAGGAGGGCACTTCCAAGGGATCGAAGCTTTCCTGAGTTTGGCAGAGAGCACGTCCTTAATTATCATCGTTATTTATGTCCCCCGTGGCTTCAAATCCGCCCAGAGGGCCTCGACTCCCTGCCCTGCCTCGAGCTAGGTCGTGGGGCAAGGAGGGACGCCCCGTTGCGCGGCACGTCGCGGTCTGGGGTGCATCTCGTTCCCTGCGGGTGCCCAGGCGCCTGGGCTCTGCCGTGCAGGTGGGGGAAGCGAACCCGGCCCGAGACGCGCGCGGCTGGCTGAGCAGTAATTTGGGTCCGTCACAGCCGCTTCTCGCAGCCTAACCCCTCCACTTGCATGTTGTGCTGTACACTGTCAACCTCCTTCTCCCGAGCCATTGATTTTTAGATTCAAAGAGCTGCGCGAGCGTAATCAAACCTATTTCCGCGAGTCTCTGGAATAAGCACGTTAACCCTTCGGCAGCAGGAGCTCAGATTTGCTGCTTAGTATTCTCCTCGCTCGCCGGCGGTGGCTAGCCGGCATCAGGGAAATGCGGATATTGCCCTCGGTGGAGTTGAACAAACCTGTTCGCTTTTCATCCAGAGTTGGAAGCTCTCCGGTTATTATGCTGGAGCCTTCCCAAGCACATACGCTATATTACAGAAATAAATCAAGTTAAATATCAACTTATTGTGCACTTGGGAAAAAATATCGCGCTCGGTCTTCCAGAGTGTGTGCAGTAGGCGGAAACCCACGGCAAGGGCTGGCGTGGCAGCGCGGGGGCTGGCGCCGTCCTCCCGTCTCGTGGCTGCCGGGGGACAGCTGTAGACTTGTCGGCGGGGCTGGGGGGCCACGTGCCCCGCGCGCGCATGCATTGTCCTTGCCGACCTTTGCACCGCCTCGGCGCGCTCTTGGGCTGGGTGCCAGCCGGCACACCGACCCTCCTGGGCTGCCCCAGAGGAGCCGACAGCTAGAAACGAGGGGATTTCTCCAAGTGCAGCCCTTGCCGTGCCCCAGGCCCGTTGGACTTGGCAAGGCCTCAGGTCGTTTTGCTTGGCTCGACTGTAAATCTTGAGAAGTTAAATGTGCAACTTGCTCGTATATTTGGGGCGGATTGCTCTGTCGTGCTCTCAAGCTGCCAGTCGTTCCTGGGGGTTTTCTGGCTGATTCCTTTGCTTCTGCTGGGCAGGAGTAGCAGGGGGAGAGGGGCTGGTGGGTCCCATGAACACTTCCAAGGTTTATTTTTACCTGGGGCAGCGCCTGGACCTTGCAAGGCTGTTTGCAGACCGAGCCCTGCACCAGGCTGGTGGTTGGGGAGGGCACAGCAGAGACGCGGACCGCTGGGGCCGTGCTTACTTTGGCTCTCCTGCTCTTGCTCACCTGGAAATTTCACCTGCCGAAGGGCTCGCTAGCATCAACCTTTCTCGTGGAAAACCTCGGCTTTGGAGGGTCGAGGCTTTCTGATGAATGCTCGCTGTGTGCTCAGCTTCGTTAAGGATGTCAGCAGGCTTCCTTGACCAAATTAAGTTGGCTTGATTCCTCCTCCACCACCTCCCCCCCCCCCCCCCCCCCCTTT